ACCTTCATTGCCGAGGAACTCGAAGGCATCTTGAGCCATGTTGAGGACGTCGATGACAGCCTGGCCATCGACGCACTGGCCGTCCGTCTTCTGCAAGTAGGTGTGAGTCTCGTTAATGCCCTGACGCAGCCGGTAAGTCCCCTTTTTCCCCTTCTCCTTCTTCTGCCCCTGTTCATTCTCATCGCCAGCCATTCCCTCGCCAGCCTTGGCATCGCCATCGCCCTCGCTCCAGTTATTCTCGTACCACGTCTTGACGCAGGGGTAGTCCTCGGCTTCAAGGTGGAGATCACCCTCGAAGAGCAAATCCCCTGACATCTTGTCTAAACCCGTCTTGTCGGTCTCAAACAGAAGTCGAGCGCGAGTTGCAAAGTCCGTAGGAGGGACAGAAGCGGGAGGGACAGGTGTCAGCGCAGAAGATGTGAGGCCCTCTCGGAGATCTTTGATAGTATCCCTACGAAAGTAGTGCATACAGGCAACGTAATTGACTTGTCCAAAATAGACTCACCGATATGCCTCACATTTCCCATTGAGTGTCCGGATTTGGTCCCGAAGCTGTTTATTGGCCTGGCGCAGCTCACGAGGCGTTGCCAGGATCTCGTCATCAGACACGTCCACGGGGATCTAGCTGCATATGGTAGCCCGTACCTCCCAATATGAAATTATGAACCTTACCTCGGCAACACTGCCACTGGTGGACTCTAGAAGCATCTCGTCACTAGCCATATCCGTTGGACACAATGAGAAAGGTTAGTCGGGGAACACGGATGACAATGAGCACACAACAAAAGAGAGTTTGCGCGCTGACCTGATCCTATCTGTGCAGTTCTCGGCAATTTCCGATCTGATTTTGTCATCACATGATCTGTCTGCACGACCTTGGTAAACTCGCGCTCATATCTGACCACACACCAGACCAAAATGTCCACCAGCGAAATCATACCGACCCATCCCTGCACATCGCATCTCGATCAAGGCGCCGAAGCAGCGGATACATCTGCCAAGCCCACGTCAACTGCTAATGACAGTTCATCCGAGCTGTCGTCCTTGTCCGAGAGTTCGGACAACCCTGTCCTCTTTGAGACGTCTAACGCTGACACAACTGCAATCACGGTGAGTCTAAATCAGACTCTCGTGTGATTTACTCACTGGCGCAACTCCCAGGAAGCTCCTGCGAGCGAGGCTAATACCTCCATGCGCAACAAACCGGAAAGCGACACTGACAGCTCCGACGAAGAATTATCCAAACGCAGGCGAGCACGCAGGAAGCGTGAGAGGGAATACCTGGATGCATTACCCGTGCGACAGCGCCTCCGGTACATGGAGGACCATCGCTCTCTGCTCGCAGTTGAGCAAGAGTTGACTCTATCCGAGGTACGTCTTTGTATATCTCTTTGTAATGCATATATTCACCCCTCCCCCAGATTGAAGAGGGTGAACACCTCGACGAGGAGGAGGGGGAGGGGAATACAGCATTTGAGCGAGCAGCATGGGCCAATTTTGTCCATCGTCGCGTGAATCGCATTATGACTCATCCTCGTGTGGCTCGTTATCGTCGCGCATAAAAAAGGGTCTGCTTTGCTGTCAATTGCTGTTATTCAGTTGCTTTCTTGCTCCACTGTCCGTTTGTCTGTAGATCACATGCATGTGTGTATTGAGTGTATGATACAATAGAGAAAACTAGTTCGAATCAGTGTGCAGAGACTGCGATGAGATCAAGTCCTCCAAGGCACCAAAGACGGCTACATCGAGTCCAGGCTTCTCCATCGCAAAGTGGAGGATCTCGTTGTGATTGGGGAATTTATGAGGCACCATTGCGACAACAGATTGAATAGTCTTGACATTGATGACACGGAGGGCAGTGTCTCCGTGGTATCGGCATGCATGTATGTTGTTGAGGGACTTGTCACGAAGCTGAACGTCAGGACGGCCGTATAAGGATACCATGGCAAAGCCCATGGTGACATCGTTGATTTTTGCAATGAAATAGTAGCGAACCTCCGCGTACGAAGGCTCTGTACTATGTGGCATCATTATCTATGGCCACAATTAGCGAGAAGAGACAAAATGCAAAGCGGCTGCTTACCTTCACGTTCCGAGATTGTCGGACACCCTTGGTCATTGTGGCTTCCTTCCACGCAGACCTAGCAATTTGACCGTTTGGTAGACGTAGACGAGCACGGCGTTGTAGTGAGGGTATGCCCTGGACAATAAAGCCATGCTCTCGGAGAGCAGACGAAATTGCGCGCGTTTCCAGTGGTACAACCGGACGCAGGTACCGCTCAACGCGAGCTAAGATGATGTACCCATCACCAACATCACGCGATGCAGCAGGTAACTTGTCATTTGATTGGCTGTCCTCGTTGTCGGCATCCAGCTCAGGATAGAGCACCTTGATGGCGTTCACACGTGCACGGTGAACAGCGCGATTGGCGAGGTTGGCATATGGGTGAGTGTGTGATCGGATTTCGCGACCAAGATCCCCGATCGTCCGTTCCATCGTCCACTGGGAGGCGCACAAGGGAGGTCCCTTGCGTACCACCTCGCGGGCTAAGTGGGTGACAGCGTGTAGCCAGGGCCGCACGAAATGCAGTCGCTCAGGTAATCGTTCAACATATATCTTCTCAAACTCGTCGGCAAAGCTATTGAGCTGAGTTCTTGCCTCTTGGACTTGTTCGGCGCTGATAGAATGCTGTGAAAGTAAGCGGATCCCGCGTACAAGGCGGCAGAAATTGGTGTAGTATGGATCGGGTAAAATACCTGTCACGCATAAGTCCAAAACTGATTGGACAAGGATTAGTACGTACCAAAGTAAAGAGCCGGTCCAAGGCCATAGAGATACAACAGCCATTCCCAGGCCTTGTATCCACTATTGAGTTTTTTGGCAATATCGCGAGGTGGCCGGTCAAATGACCCTGGCAGAAAAGTTGCCAAAAGACGAACAATGTCACCATGTTGGTCCCAAAGTTCCTTATCTGCAAACACAGCCCACTTCCACTGGTCCGGATCATCGGTTCGATGGTGGGTGAACTTGCCGCGCCATAAGGGAATAAAGAGATCGCCTACATTCAGTGCAGCGATATGCATGATGTCGGACCCAAAGAGTTTGGGGATGGGAAGTGTACGCGGGAGTCCTAGGAATATAGTGGGCTTTACGATGCCGGTCTCGAGTCGAAGATTCCTGTATGAAGTCAAGTCAGAAGCGCCAGCTACGTGTTCAAGATTGTCGTGGTAGTTGCCCGAGCCAGCACGTGGAAGGTCCTCTGCGTGAATACTGGGGTGCATGCACCCATCGACATCGTATCCTCGGGGCTTCTTCAAAGCGGGGTAATAGTGAGGTTTTTGCGGTGGATGTCGACCCGGAAAACCGCAATAAAGGCGACATCCATATTTACCATGATGGCCCACAAGCCCTGTGATGAAGGCCATTCCCGGCCCGTCTGCTACAACCACGAATAAGTAGAGATACGTTGTCCGAAGTCGATTCTCAAGGCCGTCAAAGATGACAAGACCCTCGTTCTGCACAGCTGCGAGGTGAAAAAGACCGGGGAAAAGGAAAGAGTCGAGGTTCTTTGGTTTGTTGGGGCCTGGAATGACAGCGCCTGGGAGTACATATTGTTTCTTGTATCGATGGTCGGGGGACTGGTCGAATAAGACCCAAATATAAATCCAGCAGTCTGACTGCTTGCACGCGTAGAGCTGTGCTCCGTCAATTGAAAACATGAGGACTGTATCGCCAGATTGGATCTTGCCCTCGTCAAATGCACGAAGATAGTCGTGTCCTTTTGTGATATCATCAAACTGATCGAGAACGCTCTTGTCACCGTCCCTGAGCTGGTTTCGAATGTGCTCAGTTATTGTGTCCCGCCAGCGCATGCGAGTGGCACTGTCAACATGTCGCCAGAGAGCCTGTATCTGAAATGCAAGCGGCATTGTGATGAAGGTGCGGCGTGGTACTAGAGCGTCTTTAACAGATTTACGTGGCTCATACCTTTCTTCTCCGCACTTCGGGCACTTTTCGAGCTCATCAAGGGGGCCTGTAAAAGCAACGCACGTCCCAGGGCACATATCCGACCTCATTGCCTCCACTCCGGTCAACTTCGCCAGCTCATCTTCTACCTGGGCCTTGCTCAGGCACTTGAGCCCTTCAATCTCTTTCTCAATCGTCCGGCACTCTCGCGCATACTGCGCATCTGTGGGATTTCCCAGAATAAAGCTAAGTGATATGCGAAGAGCCTGTTCTTCTTTGAGGTTGACGCGACTGGTAGGTGGGTTTCTAAGTCTGTCGCGAGCCGTTGCAGAAAGGGGGTGGTGACGAGCATCATCAATACGCGCATTTTTGAGCAGGTGGATATATTGTTGGGCTAGTCTGACATCCTCAACAACGGTGGCTTGGTGGATAGCATCCACCTCTTGGCGGGTATAGCTGGCTGTTGCGTGAGTCCGGGAGTTTGTGGTAGACTCTGGTGGTGGAGGCTCTTCAACCGCTGGTGAGAGTGGTCTTTCATCCGAATTGCCCGACTCCCCCTGATCGTTTGTCTCCCCAGCTCCCCCTGGGCCTGTAGTCTCCTCGTTGGTTGCTTCCTCGTTGTCTCCCTGGTGTAGCTCACCCAGCGGCGACAGCTCTTCTTCAAATTCGTTGGGGTCGAACTCATCTAGTGGATTACTAGCACCTGTGTCCTGTTCGGGGATGTCTTCAAACTCGAACGTGTCCTGCCCAGTCTTTAGTACGGTAAAAAATACTGTGATCTGAACGTACCAGTGCAAGCTGCACTTGCAGCATAGTCTCGTCAGTGACATCGACGAGGTGCATGTCCACATCCTCGGGAAACGGCGTCATGGTATGGTCATCTCTCTGACAATGATGGCATGTAAGATGAGTTATAGCGGGAGATGGAGTGAACACGCACCTCAGCCAGTGTCTCAGACCCCTGCTCACTGCCCACTTCGCCTGGTGCAAGCTCCTCCGCCTCCATTTCAACCTTGTACTCAATGATATCATCATCATCTTCAGGAGCGTCCTCAACGCGAGCACGCTTTGAGCGTGTCTCCTCCTTGGCGTGAAGTGAGGGCGAGCGAGAACGCGAACCCGGACCTGTA